ACGATATTGCTATTGTGGGGTAGAGCTTAAGTCCCACTTCCAGGAGAAGTGAAACACACTCTTGTCTACACTGTGCCACTATTATTGCTGTATCTTACAGTATTCTTCATCTAAACCTTCATCGGATACCAATAACTCAACACATAATGTCTTCTAGACACTAGAGACATGATGTTTCATGCTCGGCTACTCAAGTACATGGCCAGAGTTTAGCTTCATGGCCGTGCAGACGGAGTGTAACTGAACAGCTGGGTCCTCTGCTTCAACCCTTCAATTAGCCAGCTACAGGACAGCCCAGCATATTGCATACTGCAGGGATCACTTTAGAAAAAACAAACATTTTTAATCCTATCCAGTCTATCCAGCAGCAGAAGTCCGCTTTTAAAGGATAATATGTCGAGTGGCCTTGGATTACAGTTCACGGATTAGACAACAGAACCGACATTGTTTAGATGGGAAAATAGTCTAAATTAGGGCTTTCACAACTCATTGTTACTTCAGAAGAAAAGTAATCTAGTCAATATTTACTTTATGTGACTCAAAATATTCACCACATCGTCAGCATTTTTTTTTTTTTTTTTTGGCAAGTCCAGCATTATTCACAAAGAGTGTGTTATTGAAATTTCTTCACATCTCTGTTTTTAGATTCAGTCTACATTGTGATGTCCTATTTGCTTACAGTTTCTGTTAGTCTCTGGGCGACACTTGATTAGTTTCAGAGCGATTTGCAATAAGTTTGGCTTGTATTTTCACTTCAAATTAACTTAGCCTATCTCAGATGTCCGCAACATAAGCACAGTTCCTTTATTACATTGGTGAATGCAAACTTGCTCCAAAATCACTTAATAAAATAATTGATTTTGCTATAACAGTTTACTGTACACTAACTTCTATATCAGTTTTAGGGTCAGTATAATTTTATGGTTTTGAAAGAAGTCTCTTATGCTAATCAAGGCATTTATTTGATCAAAATACAGTAAATACTGTAGTATTGTGAAATATTACTACAATTTAAAATAACTGTTTTATATTTCAATATATTTTAAATTATTTTAATGGCTGCTAAATTTTCAGTAGCCATTACTCCAGTCTTCAATGTCACATGATCCTTCAGAAATTATTTGGCGCTCAAGAAACGTTTCTTATTTTCAATGTTAAAAACAGTTGTGCTACTTAATGTTTTGGTTCGTTTTTGAAAAAGAATTTGTTTGAAACATTATTAATGTTTTTACTGTCAATTTTGATTGAGTCATAGCTTAAAAAAGTATTAATTTCTTTTCAAATAAAATTTTCTGACCCCAAATTTTTAACAATGCTGCACAAAATATTAGCATTAATAGTCAACTATAGCAGCAACGCCTAGTCTAAACATGTTTAACAGGACCTGATGACATACAGCTTTAATATGCCACAACTGGCATGTAAAGGGTGTTCAGTGCACAAATCATACCTTAGAACTTATCATATATACATTTTATCTGTTTTCTGAAGGCTGCTTTTGATCATACATGCATGACACGTGTGGGTGAGGAAGTGACATGCAGGATGATAACACACATGGCTCAGTCTCCAGGGTCTATGAACCTGCTCAGTGCTCTCATCACCATATACTCACATTTTTTCTCTCTCTCCCCCCAACCCACAAAATGCATCTTCAATTGCTCATATTTCATTCCCATAGGACTAGGTGCCAGGAAGATGAGCGCAGGAACAGAGAGAAAGAGAGAGAGAGAGCCATGTATGTATGACGTGATCAGCTATTGAAAGCAGCCTGTGCACACTTAAACACTCCCTTCTCACACTGAACTAATGAAGCAGATGGAGGCACTTTTGCCTGCCTAGAGAACTACATCATAATCACAGGGTTTACCAACATCTCCCCTCCTCATGCTGTGCCCTCTCTCTCTCTCTCTCTCTCTCTCTCTCTCTCCCAATACCCTGGTTTACTCTGACATGTAAAGTGCACACCTCCTTGTTTCATCCACCCTTTTCAAGCTATGCAATACAGAATACTGTTCAACTAAAGGCTAGAAACTATCTAACACACAGTGTACACATTTTACAATGCAACAATTATAACTACATTAAATTCAATACATTATATTGAATCTGCAATATCCTAAAAAGCATTTTAAGTAAGTGACAGTGGCAAAACATTTAACGGTCTAGTTAAGCTCAACAAAAGCCCTGCAAAAGCAACTCATTCATGGCGTATTACAGTAAGAAGCCCAGAGCTACATGCTGCACTCCTTTAGGACCCAAACAGTTTAACCAGCACCATCATGATACACTCTTATTACCCAATTAAGCACATCAGAGCAACAATGAATCCTTAGAGAGGAAAGAGTCATCACTCTTTGGATGACTTAGAAATATGCCTGAGGCATTAGCTACAATAGCGTAAAATCACAGTAGTGAATACTGTCATTAATTTGTTAAGCTGACCAAGCAATTTGAAATGGAAAAAAAAAAACTATATCATTTTGGTTTCTCCTTATCCTCAACCTGAACTCATTCTGTAAGCATTGCCAGAAATTAACTTATTATATTTAGAGAGTAGAGACATTATACAACCTTAAGTTTATTTTCTCCCTTTTTGTTTAGTAATCATAAAATCAACAATCAGATTTATTAATTGCTGAAATTGTCAATGAGACAATGGCAATGTTACCTTGAAATACACATCAAATTTAGAATTTGCTGCGAATAATGTACTAGATATCACAACACAAAAATGATGCTACAGTATATTGAAATATAAAATGCTAAATAAGAGGAATAGGTACATTTTTTAACCATTTGAAATAACTGGGCAATTTATTTGCGTTTTTGCCCTGCTTAACTTCTGGCTCTGCTGGTCAGCTTATTTGGCTAATTTCGCTATTGTCCACATTAAGCATTGTATTTATGGCATTAAACATTGATACACAGATGTAATACAAAAGAATCAACGTAGGTAGGTGTTTGGGAAAATAAAACAGACCGCACCTCTCTCTGAGCACGTGTGGGCAGCGCAAACGACTCACAAATCCATTCCCTGTTTTCCCTCTCGCCGCAGGTTCAACGCTCTTAACGACGGAGAAAACCGAAAATCGCCGAAGAAAGCCGATCACAGAAAAAAAGACTGCTGGGCGCTGTCCATCACTGAAACCGCCTGAAATCCTCCGATGCACTATTTCAAAACATACCTGTGCTAATTACATGCGTTCTTCCCTCACAATGTATTACAAACGCATATAATATACGCACAAAATATAACAGCATAGCCAGACCAAATATAAAATGACATTTTCTGAGGGCTAATGATTTCGATTCGACAAAGGCAGCTCGTGCACACTTGAGAATGGAGGCGTTTCTTCATCGAATGGTTTGCATTGAGCAATAAACTACGCTTCATACAGCTCGACATATAAAAATCTCACTTACAATCTAACGCCTATTATCAATAATCATATACATAATTAGCCTATTCTATAACACACAGACCACACACCAGAGATAGTGACCATATAAATAGATTATTGCAAAGCAAGTCAAAGAGGGAAATAACCAGAGGAGTTGCATTTAATAAGACATTCAACTGAGGATAGGACATCCAAACCGCAAGGTAGATGAACAGATCGTTTTCAGTGAGGCGTAAAGAGAACGTCAGTGCATAAAAATGGCCTTGAGGAAGTTGAGCTGGTTGGGTGTCAAACCTTCTTCCTTCACCATGAGTATCAACCCAACACAGACTGCAAACGCATGAAGGCCTGTTCATGTTGCACCAACCCCATGCACACACTGCCGACAGCATTATCTCCAGGCACCATTTGCCATATAAGCTCTGCCTTCACCATTCTCAGTCAACAGAAGGCTCTTAACACCGTATTAATAGGGAGCGAGTGATAGTGGGGTTTTTTTTAATCATTTTTACCATTTAATAAATGACTTTTAAAAGTGAAAAATAAAATATGCAGAATATTTTAATGGTTTTATTTGTTATTTTTGATAGAATAAAAATAAAACAATGTGCATTGTGGTTATATTTATTATATTATTATTAATCATGTAACTATATTTATGCACATTTACATGGTAAACAATTTATTTTGAAGCCAGTACGTTCCATTGAAAATGAATGGTTGCTATGAAACAGCTTGAAAACGGTACATTAAAAATGAGTACCATGAAGGGGACACCATTTATCAATGGACCCAATCATGAACAACCGATAACCAGTCGAGTAGAAAAGTGTGGATATCGGTAAAAAAAAGGAAAGAAAGAAAAATATATATGGGTCAAGCCAGTTATCGGTCTATACTGCATATATTTCAGGCAAAATTACATATTAATCTCTAAAAGGATGCTGCATTGTACTAAAATCTAAGGAACAGCCATTTAATTATTTGCCAGAAGGGCGCAGTAGCCTATAGCTATATATATCTCTTTAAGCTTATATAGCCTATTTGATTCATTCCTGACGTTTGTCATAAAAGCAAATGCACAGGAAGACATCAGAGACATCCGTAAATGCCCACAGGACGAAGCGAAATCGGGGTGGAGTGTGGTAATGTTACTCAGACGGATGTGAAGTCAGTGGACGCCAATGGAGCATTAGACTAAGAAACACGGTTCCCCAGTTGACTTTCAGCACCATTTTCGTGAACAGCACATCGACGGCGCATCGTCTTCCCGAACCCACCAATATACATCGGCTACTGCGGATCTGCTACATCATATCATCATGTCACGGCTACAATGTATGTAACACGCTAGTGGAGAGAGAGAACTCCTTGAAAATATGGCGGACCTAAGAATTCGCCATCAAGCAATCGAGGGTGTGTGTGTGTGTGTGTGTGTGTGTGTGTGTGTGTGTGTGGGGGGGTG